TGCTAATTCCAAAGCAAGTTCCAAGGAGTCCCTGGGCTCACCTCAGCCCATTCTTCCCCCTATTGCTTTCTCCCTTCTCTCTTTGAGGGGTTCTGACTGGGTCCCCCATGCTAGCATCACTTTTGGGGTCTCAAGCTCCAATTCAAGATCCAGAGATATACCTGGCATGTTGGCAATATGGAGAACTTTAAGTGGCTCACAGTCATCTTGTTTTATGTCCTTGGTACAAGTTACTTTCTAGTCCCCAGTGTGTGGTCATTCTAATCTGAGCTTGCAGTAGATTGTCACTGGGTCCTGTGATGCTACAGTTTGTAACAGTCCACACATGACAATGCAAGAGTCACCTATTTCAGAGGGACAGAGGAAGAATACCTGCAACAGCACCTTTTTAGTCCCCTGTTCAGTCCATCTCAAGAGAGACATGGGGACAGAAGCATGGGGACAATTACATCTTGACAGGCCCTGTGCAAAGTTACCAGGTTCCTTCAGCATTTTTTGTTTGGTTTGTTTTGTTGTTCTTTGCTTATTTACAGCACCTACTTAGTAGATTCTAGAAACCTCCTTGGAAGGGTGAATCTGTAAAGACATGGAGTATCTCAAGAGTTCCGCTTTGAAAATAGTGTGACTGCAGCTCTTAGGGTGGGGGCATGTCTCTATGGCTGGGCTGCCATACACTCAGCTAGAGAATGACTCCTAAGTCAGGGGACCCCACTGAACAGTGATCTTGAACTAGTACTGGTCAGTGGACAGTGGATCAACAAATTACCTCACCAGCTTCCTAGGGCTGGTATCTTTCCAAAGCCTAATGAATCTGCAGAAATTCCAACTCATCTATGTTCACCCTGCCACCAGCTAGCTCCTCCTCTGCCTGTTTCCTTCTTGTTCTGTCCCTCACTGAGTCCCTAATAAGTTAGCTCTCTTGGTCAGCTCTTTTCTGCTCTGCATCTGGAATAGATGGGTAGCCAGAGTCCCAAACAGCACTACCCTCTTAGAACATTCCAGAGACCTGGTGCTGTTCTTGTTCCTCACATCAGACTGATCCCAGCCTGGTGCAACCCGGCTTCATCTTTCCCCTGCAGCTGCAGCCATTCCTATGGGGACCCACATCTTCTCCCCAACTGATCTGATTTCTGAGGTGATGGCCACAGGGCCAGGCACGGGCACCCCTCTCTTACATGGGAGGACTGAGTCCAGCTCTGCATGAAATGCCATGTGCAACTCTGCACAGCAGGAAGACCCATCTTCAGAGGAGGCTGAGGTCGGGAACATCAGACTATGAGCCCCCAGCGGCACAGAGACCATGTCTATTCATCCCTGTTCCTTGACACTTCATGGATCCTCTGAGAACAGTTGTTATTTGTGCTGGCTCCTGGGTCAAATGCAAGTTGTGAAAAGGCCGGTGCCTGGGGGCGGGGGCGAGAAGGGCACTGGGGGCCCTGTGTTGACCAGGGTTGTGAGCCTGCACCTGGACCCAGAGGGATGGCCTGCTGATCCCTTAGCAAGCCTGCTCAGGGCTCTGGAGGGGACAGGTGGTGCTTGGGCCTCACACCACACGCTGAGTGGCAGCTGCCCAACTCATAGTGGGCTTTGCCTGGTGAGTGTTTCCGGTTACCCATGTGGGTATGGGCGTGAATGTGTGCGTGTTCCTAGGAATGGAACTCAGGACTTCACACTGCGAGGCAAGTACTGCATCACTGAGCTACACCCTACGCCAAGTTCTGAAAATTGAAACTTGTCTTCTTTTATACAAAAAAGTAAATGAAACAATAATTTTTTAAATGACAATAAAAATAATTTTTAAGGGAGCTGGTTATACCTGAGTGCTTACATTTGCTAATATCCTAAGATCCAAAGATTGCCCCCAACCCAGGGGTGACTGGTGCTGTCCCAGATCCACGAGTCTGCTGATACTGCTCACTGCAGTATGCGTGCATAAGCCCGCGCGGCCTACAGTTGAAGACATCTATAGCTATCATCAGATTTTCACATATTGACCTCAGAAAGGTTAAGAGGTACTTCTCTGTGCATTTGGTTAGTTTTAAAAATTTATCATGTTCCTATAACTATTTTATTTCCACAGGAAAAGGACCATTCATTGGAAAATAGGTTTCTCTGGACTCAAAGCCCTGCCCTGAGAAGGTTTGTGTCTGGGGGCCCCCTGGGGGCCACTATGAGAACTGCAGTCTCTCTAAACCTGCCTGTCCCATAACCCAGGGGCAGATGTCATAGGCCACAGGAGCAGTTGGTGTCTCAAGGACAGGAGCCCTTCATTATCAGCAACTATGCAATCTTGTTAGCATGCATTATAAAGGTATAATAAAGAAGTGGATTTTGAGTTGTTATTTTCTAGGCATGGCAGTAACAGGACAGGTGAATTTGTCAAAAGAAAAGCCAAGGCAATACATCAGCAACAGACCTGACTCAACCCTTCACTTTTCGATGAAGGGAGTAAGGGGTTCAGAGGTTGGAGGGCACACTCTGCTGTGCATAAGAGGAGCCAGGGCAGGAGGTAGGCTCCCAACCTCAGGCCAGGTTCTGCTCACTGAGTCTTAGGGGGTCTGCAGTAACCTTCTCTTCTCTCTCCTCTTTCTCTCCCCATGTCACATCGGCTTGTAACCTGTGTACACACGTATACCACATGGCCACTAAACTCAATGACAAAGGCAAACACAGGGCCATGTGGCCCCTGAGAGCTGTGAACCAACAGGGAGCACACAATCTGGGAAATAGATTCCTGACCTAAAGCAGAGGCGCAGCCACTGAGCTTCAACGAATCACAGGGTGACAAGCAGCTGACAGGGGGGTACCTGAGGAGGGCAGCTTCCTGGCCTGGGGTGAGAGCAGTTGGTGACAGTACACAGCTCGTGCTGGTGGACGTGGAAACGTGCAGGCACCAGGGCACTCACGGCCACATGACAGTGCCAGGCAGAGCTCCGTGTGCCGCACCAAGAGCCTGGATGGAGGCCAAGGTCACCAGGCCAAGATACAGGACAAGGGCTGAGTGGGAGAAGGACAGTAAGTTTAATCGAGTTAGTTTTGAAAGATAGTAAACTTCAGAGAAGCAAAGATAAAAAGAGGTTGCATTTTTATGGATAGAATGGTAACCTGGTGCAACTAAGGGAGAGGTCCCACAGAAGCTGAGCTGGTGGGAACACTGCAGAGGGGACTAGTGAAGTTGCCACTCCAATGGGGTCTTGTGCAGATGGCACCTGACACCCAGGAGATGCCATTCAGCGAGCAGAGAACACAATCTAGAGCGGAAGGGAGGGATGTCGGTGTGGGAACACAGAGGGGAACAGGACCTGGGGCAAGGAGGAGGGGCAAGGAGACAGCTGGGAGCAGCAGAGCCAGGAGAAGGCAGAATGGTGGACAGAGGCCAAAGCACAGGTTGGGCACCATGGCTGACACTGACACCAAGCAGAGAAAGAACAGAAGATGCCACTCAGGTCAAGCACCAGAAGCCCATTGCTGATCATGGTGGACATCTGGGGAGTGGCAGCAAGAACAGAGGTCACAGGGGCTCAGAAGTGAATGGGACACAGATCAAAGCAAGGGGGCCACTCCTGTGAGGAAAAGGAGATGAAGTGCTGGCTGAGAAGCCACACAGCATCGGTTCTGGCTTAGCAAACGTGCAATGAAGACCTGTACCTTGGGGAAGACATCCCAGGCGAACCCTGTGAAATCACGATTTTGGTAGCTCCCAAAATGGTCAAAAGTAAGTGATGCCCCATGATGCAACCCAATACAACTGAAAGCACGGGACACTATCTTATTTTAACTAATCACATTCTATAAGGGATACAGCCAAGCCACTGCTTTCCATCTATTCCGCACGTCAGGCTAACAAGACAGTAACAGAGCCTTTGGCACTTGGCCCTGAAGTAGCAGCCCAGTGCTGGGACACGAGCTGAAGCTCCATGCTGTGTCTGCCTCAGCACTACCCCTGGTCTGCCGAGCCCTCAGTCTCCCAGACTTGGTCTCCCTTTCCTTAGGCCCAGCTATGGAAAGATGGTGTTGATAGAGATCTCTACGTGCACATGGCAATAAATACATAAAATACTAATCCCAGCATCACCATGACTGCTGAGTTACCTCCTGCATGTGCATGAATGAATGGATAAACCAAATAACATTTATCTGTACAATGAAATAGTGTCCAGCCCTAAGAAGGAAGGAAATTCTAACACAGGCTACCACATGGAAGAAGGTGATGTCATCCTAAGACAATCGCAAAAGCATAAACCCTACATGAGGATGATTCCAGTTATATGAGGGCCCTGGAGAAGTAAGATGTAGAGACAGAAACAAGCATGGAGGCTAGCGGGGGTGGGGGTGGAGTGCAGAGGCAGTAGTTAATGGAGCCAGAGCTGCCTGATTCTAGCGCTCTGGAAATGGACAGGAACAATGTCCATTGTTCAACACTACAAATGTACAACACTACAGATGTACTTAATGCGGCTGCTCTGTATACTCACGGATGACTTAAAGGGTGAATGTCATCCGGGGTTTGTGAGACTCTTGCTAAGTTGCCCAGCCTGGGCTTGATGTTATTACACATTTCATTTCAATGAAGATTTTAAAGATTAAAATAGTTCCTCTTAAATCCCTTAGGGGCTGTTCTGCACATGTTTGTTAAATAAATAGAAACACGATGAATGGGCAAAGTAAATTGGGATGGAAAGCAAGAAATTATTCCAGTGATTAAACAAAAGGAAGAATGAAGTAGAACACCAAGTTGGGAAGGTTGCCGTGTGAGAAAGGAAGAGGGACAAGATGACACTTCAGTGTCAGAGGAAAGGAGAGCAGCAGTGGGAGTCACCTACTGTAAGAGCACCACATCAGAACTTGTTTATTCAGAGAACATTTATTGATAGGAAGACCCCAAAATGAGGAGATTCCCCCAAACAAAAGCAGAGGAGGGTCTTGACAGTCAACCCCTTTCAGCTCTTTACTGCAACAAGAAAAGTGTGGGCAGAGAGGTGGCGACCCCAAGTACTCACGGCTGAGTAGCTCGGTGCAGGGTGGCCTGGGCCTGGGTCACCAGGTAGCCCAGGAAGCTGCTGATGGCTGGCTGCAGGGATGGGAGCACCACAGCCAGGTGGCCTCGCTCCTGTTCCAGGTCTTCCAATCTCTGTCTCAGCATCTCAGCTGCAAATCAACAGCAATGGGAAGAAAATGGACCATGACTCTCAGAATCAACGGACAACTCATATCTCTCTTTCCAGACCTGGCCCTCCTGTACCAGATCAGCCACACAGAGGGCTGATTTCTAGGCCAGTGTTTGTCTTCTAAGCAAGCCACCAGACCTTCTGAGCATCGCCTGTCATCCCCCAGTGACATGGCCCTCTCCCTTGTTATGATTTCTGTCTGTACCCCCCCACACACACACACCTCCAGAGCTTCAGTGCTTGTGGAAGGTGATGGATTACAGGGCGTCACAGCTGGTTTGACTTGAGGGGGAGGGGCTGAGTGGAAGAGGCAGGTCACTGGGGGCGTGGCCTGCAAGGGTGTATCCCCTCCCCCAATCCTTCCTCCTCTCTCTGCTTCTTGTCCTCCACAAAGCAAAACGCTTTCCTCCACCCAGATCCTTCCATGATGCCACTGACGGTGCAAGGACTGAAACTTCTAAACCGTGAGCTGAAATCAACCTCCTCTTCTTTAAACTGCAGGTGCTGGGTATTTCATCCCCACAATGAGGAAAGAGACTAAGACAACCCTCATCTCTCCAGCTCATGGAGGCCATAGTTTATGTACCTACACTGTGGTCAGAGCCAAGAAGCACACTCTGAAAGGACATTTAATATTAATTATATGTAAAACCATTGTGGCCATTTGGGAAAACAGCTCCAAAATTTTATAGGCTCTACAAAATTAGTTGAAAAAATTAGTGCCAAAAATTTAATTTTAAGAATGTTTCCTCAGTCTAAATGCCCATCTAAAGATGAATGGATAAAGAAAGTGTGTTTTTTATACAATGGAGTACTACTCAGTCATAAAGAAAGATAAACTTGAAACATTCTAGGTAAATGGATGCATCTTAAGATCATGCTCTTAAGTGAAATAAACTGGATGCACATATTTAAATATTGCACTGTTTCTCTGGTGTGAGAAACTGAAAGGGCGAGTAAGGACCAAAATGTATAACAGATATTGTAAATTAAGAAGAAAATGTTCAAGTTGTCCACATGGCTGACACTGACAAAGGATCTACAAACTGCTGTACAGGGTTTCAGGGTAAATCCTGAGGTGATTTGACTGACCTTGGCAGATACAAAAGTTACATTTCTTGTTATATAGGTCTTGCTTTATCTTGGTCTTAACCATCAGCAGAAAAGTATAAAAATGAGATATAAAAAGTAAAGCCATATCAATATGCTGAGCTGTAAAAGGCTCAAGTCAACAACTTCCTATAGAAAACCCAGTCCTGTTACGGACTACTGGACTATATTGGCATATTTTGCTGAATTCACACACCTACAATATTTAAATGATGATGGAATACCCATCTCTGACAAAACTAAACAAAAAAGGGGAAACAAATGAAGGGCCATTTTGTATCTGTATATTCAAAATAGTTAGGATAGATATACTACTTTCTCTTAATTTAATGAGAAGAAAGATTTGTACTAATAGTGTTTGTAGACAGGATATCATGTCTGCATCTTGTACAATGAATAACCACTAAGAAGACAACAATATGCAGTGTATTGATTATTGAAACTGTCCTATTAATCGATTTTAAAACTGTCTCATTGCTCTTTGTTTCTCATTAAAATTAATTTAAAAAAGAAAATGTTCAGACAAAAAAGGGAACAAGGGAGGGGAGAGGCAGAAAGAATGGAAGGGGGAAAAAAGAAGAGAAGAAAAAAATGAAAGCAAAGTTTCTGTAACAAGAAGGGTTAAAGTGTGGGGAACAGTTTGGGAAGGAAAAAAAAAGAAAAATCAAGATATATCATGTACAGGTAGAAATTCCCCATGGCAAATGTGATCATTATGTATATCTTAAATGTAGCAATAAAATTTACTTTTTTAAAAAAAAAAAAAAAAAAAGAATGTTTCCTCAAAACTGTTACATCAGCTTAGGGCAGAGCCAGCAGCAATGTTCAGATTCCCCCTGGCATGTGATGAGCACAGCTTAACTTCTACTATAAATTGGGGGCCCCTGATTGTCCTAATGACCTTAGATCGCCTGAGAGAAGGCATAAATTCAGAAACACTGTAAAACCACATAAAAAATGTGGAAGCTAGACCAGTAGGAGCTCACCTTCATAACCAAAGCCTAATCAATGGAAAGTGTCCTATAAATCTACTAAAGCCTGAATCTAAAACTACATTCCTTGGTTTCCACCCTGGTGACCCTTGCGGGGTTGGGGCACCATGAGCGTGGATTGGTGCACCTTGCTGAGATCCAGGGCAGGGAGCTGGGGCAGCCCAAGATCCCAGGCAGCCACTGCGGCCTGGGGCAACTGTAGTCCACTCCGACTCTACCCTAGATCACAGAAGGCCCTGCATGTTCTTGGGCTCTGCAGGTCACTTCCCAAGGAGGCTATTTCCAGGAACTCTGTTCTAAATTCAAGCGGTGTTTCCCCCAGCTGGTTCCTCTACACAAAGCCCTTGACCACAGGCCAGGCAAACCCCAACTCTCACCCCAACTCTTCTTCCTTCACATCCCAATCCTACAGCACATGCCAGCTGAGGGAAAGGCAGTGAATGGGTGTTAGGGCCACAAGTCCCCGTCTCTGGGTCTGCCCCTGTCTCTGGGTCTGCCCCTGTCTCTGTCCACTGAGAATCTTCCTGTAAATTTGCCAAATGCCCTGAAACCAACCAACAGCCAGAGCCAGCCTAAAGGAATGTAGTTAAGATCTGTTCTAAGAGACTAGAAAAAGTCACCTGTCCAGACCAAGTCCTGGGGTTTATCAGGCTCACCCTTGCAACACATGGCCAGGCCATCCTCACTTCTGCAGGTACAGGGTTCTGGGTGCCTGACTCCCTCCCACAGCCCCATGCAGCACTGACTAGTAGGCTGTCCAGCCCTCAGATGTGCACAAGGAATAAAGGAAGGAATGGGCCTAGGGAAGGGAGCCTCCCAAGGGCTGGCAGCTCCTCAAATGTCTCATGCCTGTCATGCCACCCTGGTCTTTCCAGTCGTGGAACAGGGAGGGGAGCCAGACCTGAGCAGTGCTACTGGTTCAAAGCACAAATTCCTGGGCAGACATGGAAACAGCTGCACATGCCCATATACTGTGCTCCCACCTACTTTCACTTCATTCGCTTCCATTCCTGTGTGTTTTCTGTCTTTTCTATTGAGATGACCTGAAAGCAGCAAAGCCTTGGGAGTAATGAACAGCAAGCCCAGGTCAAGATCCTAAGCACCATCCTGTGGGAAGGATCAGAGCCCACAAGGTGAAGCAGGGCTGCCCGGGACGAACCTGGAACTTTTGGTACTAAAACAGTAGGAAGAGCTGGAAGAGTGAGGAACTTGATTCAGAGCACAGACACCACCTGAAGGTATTCATAGGGCCCAAACAGGAGAAATGGAGAAAAAATACCAGTAAGGACCATGGGGAGGTCAGCCGATTGCACTGAAGAGGACCCAGGCAACTGCACTAATAGATCCCTGGTTGGGAAAAGAAAGGGAAGCTGGAGCGAGCAAGGCACCCAGGGACATTTAGATGACACACAGATTAGTGACAGAGACTTTACAAGGGAAACCTGGAGGCCACACATGTCCAGGGGATGAGAGTGACCTCTGTGATGCAAGGACAGGTCCGCACTGCATGGTGCAGGGTGCGAGGTGCTGAGAGCATACGGCAGTGTTTCTAGGAGGCCCCAGAGGATCAGATGGACCCAGATTGTGGGTCTCACCAGATGCAAGGCTTCCCTCCTTCAAGCCCACAGAAGTCCGCAAAAGAGTCAGTGCAGAAGAATTGCTCCGAGTAAGAGGAATACGGAGCCTGGAACACAACAGCTGTTCCATCCTGAGCCACCGAGGAAGGCACGTTGCTGGGGTCAGCCATGAGGTGCAGCCTGGGCAGAAGCATGTGTTAGCTCCTTGACTCTGTGACAGGAAAGCTGCAGGCCTGGGGAGATGACTTTTGGGGACACACAGTTGGGCCCTGCTAGTGGTGGTGCATGAGGGTTAAAGGCTACAGTCAAGAGGTCAAGAAAAGGCTTGGCATGGCAGATCCATCAGGGCTTGGGATGAGGCAGAAGCACAAGCTTTTTTTTTTTTTAACTAAACCTGTGACTTTCTTATAAGACACATACTTCATTTTTTTCATAATCTTATTAAGAAACAAATAGCAATGAGACAGTTCCAAATCTGATTAGTAGCACAGCTTCAATAATTAATATATTGCATATTGTTGTCTTAGTGGTTATTCATTTTACAAGATGCAGACATGATATCCTGTTCATAAACACTATTAAAACAAATCTTTCTATTCATTGAATTAAGAGAATGTAGCTGTATATCTATCCTATTTTGAATATACAGATACAGAATGGTCATTCATTTGTATCCCCTTTTTTTGTTTAGTTTTGTCATTTAAATATTATAAGTGTGTGAATTCAGCAAAATATTACAAAACAGTTCAGTAGTCCATAATAGTAGTAGGTTTTCTGTAAGACTGGCAATGTTAGAAATGGTTGACTTGAGCCTTTTACAGCTCAGTATATTGACATGGCTTTACTTTTTATACTTTGTTTTTATACTTTTCTGCTGGATGGTTAAGACCAAAATAAAGCAAGACCTATATAACAAGAAATGTAGCTTTTGTATCTGATAAGGTCAGTCCTGAAACCCTGAAACCCTGAAACCCTGTACCACAGTTTGTAGATCCTTTGTCAGTGTCAGCCATGTGGATGAGTCACAGCCATTGCTTGACCAGTTTGCTCTCTGTGAAAGCCTGACAGAATGTTTTCTCTCCATGTGACTCTCCTTAGGCACACTCTACATCATCAATCACTTTCCTCTGTGGCCCCATAATCTCTGATCAGAAATTTGGGACACAACTGAGTTAAATGATGTTACAGTGTAGGTTCTCCTATGTCCTGAGTCTTCACTGACCTTGGAAGGCTAGGGCAAAAATGTTGGCTGTCCTTGCAGCTCTCCTTTTTCTCTAACTTTTGGTCTGCAAACTTAGGTT